CTTAGTCTTTTTAGGGTCTGGCCACAACTCCCCTAAAACCTCGCATCAAGATCAAATTCATCAAGTGAGATCGAGCCACCGAACCCCAGACGGCCATGAATGCTCTCCAACAACCACTTCCGAATCTAGTGGTCCGACACACTAGCCATTCGAGCCACCCGGGGTTTTCAGACGTTCCCTGCCGCATGTTGTGCGGGGTTGGTCGAGGTTGAGGTTGTCGACTGAATTGGGGTCGGCCATGAACCACATAGTCGGGTCGTGACCAAGTGCTTGGAGGGAGGTGAAAGGGAGTCGAGTCTTGTGAAGCGCAGCCAGAACAGTCCTGATCAGACCATGCACTAACTCCTTTGAACCTTTCGCAGCCTTTGGGTGGGTTAAAAGGTGGAAGATCGCGTCCTATGTGTCTGTGCTGACGCGGTTGGTTGGGGTTTATCTGACGAGCCCCAGAACAGACATCGATGAGTCGATCGCAGGGATATTGGCAACGACGGCAAAACCAAGTATTGATTACACACATTGTGGCCGGTTTTGGCTGAGAGGCAGACGCGATGATGATGGGGTCTGGTGTTCGAACGAATAATCGTAGAAACGATCATTGCAGACAATGAGGATGAAGAGAAAAGTTAGACGACCGGTATTTATGTAACTCGTACTGACATCAATGGACAACCTCTCAAAACCGCGGAGGCACCTTTCATGGTTGAGCCGCGGGATTTTCTGTCTTGAACATCAAGGTAAATTATAATGATGGTCAAAACGTAGATGTCCACGATGATGATCGAGTCGGTGCCTTGGGAGTTCTTAACACGATATGGACACCTAAAGGTACCGCAAAGCGTCCAATCAACTACAACTACCTCACCGGTCTCGCCTACAATTGAATAAAACTTTTGCCTAGTTACCCTTTGCTGTCCAAATGAGTTGAGCCCCTCTTGTTCATATCAACTAGACTTCATACACTGTACACTGTACAGTTAAAAGTTTGCCCTCTCAGCCTGCCAGAAACCTAGGACCTCCATTACATCCGGCCTTTCATTTGGATCTTCCGCCATGCACCGATCTGTCATGCCCACCCACGCCGTGGGTATGTCCTCGGCGCCTTCCCAACTGGTTTTGAGCTGGCTCGGATGCTCAATCTCATCGAAATCCATGTCCGGCTGACGCAAAAGCATCCACACCGCTCGGCCCAGGCTGAACACCTCAGCAAGCTCAAGAGCCAGTGGATGTTCTGCACTCCAGCCAGGAAACACGTTCCAGGTGTTCCATGGATAGTCACCGAGTACGTCTTCCTCAGTATTGCGGCGCGGTGGGCCCTCATGCTTGGTGTATTGAAGACGTGGGCGATTCCACCCATTGCCAGCAAGGCCGCCGCCCTCTTCTTCCATCTCAACGTCCCAAGTTCCATCGGCTTCTGGTGCGATGGTCGTTGTTGGCGCATCCGTCTGCTCCCAGTCTCCTAGGACCAGGTTGCCGTCTTGGTCGATCAAGAAGTTGCCAGGTTTGATGTCCATGTGATACGTCTTGGCCTGTCGATGAGTGTGGGCGACCGCCGCGGCCATGTCGGTGCACCACCGGACCTTAGTAGTAAGGGGAATTCGGGCTCTCAGGATGTTGCTCTTCTCTATGCGAGATCCCACATCGCCCCCCTCGTAGAATGGCTGCAGTGTGCCGCAGACCACCCGGTCCTGATTGCCATACGTCACTAGCTTCGATGGAGCTGGAAGCACATTGGGATGCTTGGGCATATTGAGAAGTAGATTATTGGACCTGTGCCAGCCATGTATCATGTGGCGAATGGTTTTGTCGTCTTCATCATCAGTGTACGTTAAGAAGGTACGAAAGTCGATGCCTTTGAACACCATGAAGTCCTCGGAGCTTTTGTCCATGCGACGAATTCGAGTCGCACAGCCTCGCCCACCCAGCTGATCGTAGCGGACTATTGCGGCAAACTCAACTTGCTCGTCGTTCGGGAGCAGAGGGGTCTTGCCAACTTTCACGGTGTAAATTACGGTCGACAAAATGCCAGAAAGTGAGGGATGCGAGAGAGACGAAAACGGGAATAGGGAGAAAGACTGGAAATACATACTTTCGTTGTCGCGAAGATATTTTATGTAGCGTTGAAAGAGTGGGTGAGAATAAGCATTCCAGTGCACATCACTGGAAGAGCTTGCATCATCGTGATGATCGACGGCGAAGACAACGTCGGGTTGCGAAGCCCGTTTGTCTGTCGAGCAGGCTGACCATACATCGCGAACCGCGTTCCACAAGGCCTCGCGCATGGCAGTGCTGTCCTTGAATGATTTCGAATCATCATCGACCTCAATTCCATGCATACAAGCGCAGATGCGATTCGCGAGAGAGGTTGGAGGCTTGGATGCGTCAAGAGAGAAACTGAAGATGACGGTGCGATCGTTGCCGTACCCTTGGGCGAAGACAGTCGTTTCGGCGTCATCGCCCCAAATCCACTCAGGGTGAAAGTCATTCATGGTGTTAATAGGATCGAGGTGATTGAATTGCAAGCACCACAGCCTTCTATGAGAAGAATAAGTTGGTAGACGCGGGGAAGAGAGCTGAGCGGGCGAGGTATGAGATGTCGCAGTTGGTGATGTTGGTAGTTCAGTGACCAGTCTCTCCCATTTCAAAATTTGGCGGCCATAAGCGAATTAAAAAGCAGGTGCCGCCCCTGCCTGCTTTGGGTGGCACCTGCCTTCGAGCATCAAGATGTCGCACAAGCATCTCGGCCTTTCACTGAGGCAAACACACAGAAGTAAGACAATTGCATCCACAATCAACGAGCAAACACCTCAGCCATTCACGTGCATCAAAACGTCAGAAGGAGAGAAAGAATGACGACTGGCATTTCCATACCTCTCGATCCTTCTTTTCCATCTAGCTATTGTTGATATGAACTCGAAGTGACACAGTCCTTTACTCGATAATCACCAAATACCGGGCTCATATCACGAACCTCGACGAACATCTACTTCCTTGTCGTCTGATGGATGTTGTCGTGCACCTGCTCCGATCTGTACGGGTCGTCACGGGTCGGCGCAGGAATTGTTCTGAGCTTATAGGCAACCTTGTACTTCTTGAAGACGACCGGCTGAGGGCCCGAGGCTGAGCCTGTTATGGAGTGTCAGCGCATCTGACTTGACATGCATTTCAGAGACAACTTACCATCGGTGCCAAATTTCCATATGACATGGATAAAGCCGTCGTCCTCTCGGGGGTTGACATCAACATCTAGAGTGATGGTCGAGCGGCCGGACTCGATCTCGATGCGTGGGGGCCCATTCACGTTATTATCCTCCAAGACCACAAGCCCGAGGACATCTTCAAGCCCCAATCTCGACAGCGTGGATTTGAGCTCTAGGAGAAACGGTCCGTGGCTTGAGTTCGTCAGCTCTGGGATGTCCTCATGCCCATGGGGACTCGAGTATGTAAACTCCCAAGGTGCCAGCCCGGCCTCGACAAACCGCCATGCCGTAGGAACAATGTTCCTAACATCAGCCGAGTTGAGCTTTGTGTCCCACGGCACCGCAGCGTTGCCAAATTGGACAAGCATCTCGGAGGCCGAGATTTCGAAGTGGTTGTGAAGGAGAATGATTCCGAACGTGTTCTCCATCCCGTACTTGATAAACACCTGTCCAATGTCAGATGTGAGAGCCTCAATCGCTCCGGAAGGCTCGGCATTGCGACCAGCTTCCACAACGCCCGGCAAAGTATCGTAGTACTTGGGTGACTATGGGAGGAGAGTGAGAGCCATGGTTATTGCTGTTTTATCTGCTTCGTGATGGTAAATTGAAATTCGGAAGAACACGAGAATCTTATCTTGTTGAGATGTTGTTGACGATATGAATGAGATCTCTCTAGTTTTCAACCTTCAGAATGGCGGACTTATATACTTTTGCGTTACCATTTCAAGCTCTAAGGGCAACATGCCTCCAGAAGTTTGCCAAAAACATCAGGAAGCTGTACTACCGAAAGGTTGTCGACAAACAGAGGGGAAGAGGGTAACACGACACGAACCATCCCTCTAAGTTACACCACATCGCCCAAAACGTTCCTCCTTTACCGATAAAAGGGTCTCCGCCTAGATTCATACCGTAATAGAAAGAAGAACAATGCAAAAGCCCGCGGCAATTGTTCGTGGCAATACAATGCACAGTGTGGTCAGCGCAGCAGACCTATGTAATATGGAAGCAGGCGGTTTGTCTTAATCACGCATGGATACGTAGTGAATGTAATCAGAAGACGGCAGTTGATCCTCCACATCAAGTAACCTCTGTGTGGGTAGGTCGTACTAGACTGACCATAATGACTGAAAAGGAGGTAGACCGTATTATAAGGTAGTATTAGGAAGGAAGCAAGTAATCAAACCATGCGTTAGAATTACGCTAAGAACAACAACAACTTTCTTTCAATTAGGGTTTACAGTGAATGGGAAATTTCTTCGTTTGGATGTATGGCCAAAGTGAGGTGAATAAGTAGTTGCCTTTGAGGAGGAAGGAGCGGAATTTCAGCTAGGCAATCCTTTACCGGGCTCAATAAACAATCTTTACACATACATTCCATGCCCCGATAGAGCACAAGAAGATCCTTATCATGCGCTGTCCCATCTTAGAGGAGTCCTAGACACCATTTTCAGAAACGAAAGCCACAAGGTCGAGGAAACTTGATCACAGCCTTCCATCTGCTCTTATCATATGGGCACGAAATCTTGCAGATGTTGTGATCATCAAATAATACAGATCCTTCTGATAGGGCCCTGCAACAGAGCCAGTATCCCGTTTAAGTGCGTTGCACTATAATCAGGCTGTTGTTTTGGGAGGGCTGACGTCAGTCATGCATGACGATGGATGGCCACTCGCTGCGATGAGCTGCATCTAGGCACCCAGAATGTGCCTTGGCGGCTGTGTTATTTAATGACCGGAAGTGAGAACCTGTCAAACCGTGGAAATGAATGTCATATTCACTCCTTGATTCACAGTCTAAGGGCGATGGCTGTTTCGCAGACATCAGACGAGGTCCAGCTCCGAGTGCAGGAGTGGATGCAAGCTACCTCATATTCTGCGGTCTCACTTACGTCGCTTACAGGAGGTCAAACCAACTTCACCTACCTCGCAAGGCTGAGGCAAGCATTTGACGACAAAGATGGAAACAGGGCGATGGAAGTTATGGTCAAACATGGAGAGCCATACATGGCCCGGCATCCCGTCAACTCCATCGCGATCGAGCGTTGTGTAGGGCGATCTTTGCTATCTAGCATCTTAGCTAACACTTGATAGAACGTGGAGGCGGCTTGTCTAAAAGAGCTCGAGGCGATGTCTCTCCGCCTGCGTAGCCAGGAGAGCTCCAGTATCACCGTCAAAAGCCCAAGATGCTACGTCTACGACGAGAAAACGAAGACGCAGATTCAAGAGTATCTGCCGAATGTGGTACACTTGAAGAAGCACCTTCTCAAGTTCCCTCCATCAGACACGCCCATGGATCTGCGTCCGCAATACCAGAATATTGGTGGCGCCATGGCTAAATACATTTCCAAATTCCATGAGCTCACGAACAGCATCTTGGAAAGCGACGGGCCGGATGGGGCAAGCTCATCACTGAAGGAGGCCCTTTACAAAGACAACCAGATGCAGAAGTTGAAGCACATGATCAACTACGATTGGCTGCTCGAAAGAGTCGCCCAGTTCCCCTCGATCCTGGGCCACATGCGAGGCATATTTGAGGAAGTAAAGGGGCAGGCCTTAGAGGAGATACGCGGGGGTACTAAGACCTTGACGGTTATACATGGGGACTTCTGTCCACAGAAGTGGGTTAACGCCGATACCTACTACCTCAAACTTTTAGAATAACACTAGAACAGTGTCCTGATTCGTGACACACCACTCGCGGCCAACCTTGATACGTCTATATATGTGGTAGACTGGGAGAACGCCCAACTTGGAGTTCCAAGCATGGATCACGGGGAGATGCTGGGAGAGCTATTCGCAATCTGGCTGTGTCAGGGGTCAGCAGCAAGCCTGTGGATTGCGGAGGGCTACTGCAGGGGACTAGATGACCTGTCGGAGAGCTCAGCTCTCCGAATCGCCCTCCAGCTGGGGGTCCATCTCGTTAGTTTTGGCACCATTTCGCGAGAAATGGAGACCCTTGAACAAACCCGAGATATTGCTCGCATCGGTAGTGAGTCTATTGTCAATGCTTGGGGTAAGAAGAAGGCGTGGTTCGAGCAGAGTGATATATCCTTTTTGTTCCCGACGGTTTCTGGGGAGTGAGATTCGCGAGTACAAGAACTTTCAACTTGGTAGCAAGGATATGGTAGTCAGTCAGAAAACACCCCGAGGCCCTTACTATCTCAAAGCCCCGGATGGTCATCTCTCTGCATCTTCTATAGTCCAGATGCTGCCATATCCTTGAGTAACTGCCCGAAAGTTAAATCGAGAACTAATTCTATTCCTGTTATTGAAAGGCCAAAACAAAACTTGAGGCTTACGGTGGCTTCAAATCAAGTAGGAGGGCGGTTCAGAGTCTAAAAGGGAGACTTGAAAGCAAAAACATACAACACCGGGCATTCGCCAGTCGTCACCGACCTGACTACTACTCCAGCCCTCATTGGCTTATCTATGGGAGAGCGGACGGGATCCCGAGTTTTCCAATGGGTATGGTCGTATGTGAAGGCATCGTGAAGTGAATTTGCCTATAACCTCAGAGCTGTGGTCGGACTTGAGGAAGTGGCCGCATGTTTGGCCGCTTGTTTCTCCCAGTCGTGAGCCATGACAGACCTGGTAATATTCTTTGTTTCGAAGTTGCTCCTTGACAAAAAAGCCTTGTGGCTTTCTAATGTTACCTTCCATGTGAACACGAAGAGTTGATTCAGGAAGTTGAGGAAGTTGACGTTGCGCGTCGCAGAGTTGGCGTCTCATGATTGGCAATAGTTTCACGCCATTGGCCAACCAAGCCTCCCCAAAATCTGGTGCAAGTGCAGTGCAGCAACCGGGGGACCGAGGCACAGCGCATGCGACCTGAGGCGAACCCTGAACCGGCCCCCAGTGCAGAAAAAGGGGTATTGTCGATCACCCCCGCCAATTGGGACGCTCTAGAAGGCCAGAAATGCCCCGAATTTGCGGGCGGTGCAACTGGCAGGTTGCGCATTACGGGGGTCCCACGTAGCTTGTCTGAGCTTAGCTTAGCAGCCCTTCCAATGTCTCCAGCAGCTTGCTTCAAAAATAACCGTCCCGTCAATTGGACACATGGGACGGAAATGCGATCCACGGACACGAGACATCCCACGACGCCCCATTTCGACCGCCATCTGACCGGGAGAAACCAACTCGCTTCTTCCAACAACACCAGTCCTGGGGACTCTTCGTTATTCGATTGACAATGATCTAGAACCGTCACCTGCTGTCCTTCCCCCCCTCGTTCCCCACACGCGTCGAAGCTCCAAGCAGAGCAGCTGCCAGCAGCAGCAGCAGCAGCAGCAGCAGCAGCAGAAAGCCCGCCCGCCATGGGTGGCCCGCTCACGTTCCTGAAGAGCATCTACGATCTCGACAACCTCGATACGCGCTTCACGAACTCCTCCTCCGTTCCATACAAGACCGTGATCGAGTCACGCAATGATCCGGCGCAGAGCAAAGAGTCAGCCAGCAAAGCCCACAGCCGCGCGCAGCCGTCAAAATGGAGGCAACCCGAGTTTATCGTCTACCTCGCCTATATCGCAGGGGTGATACCGTATATGTTCTGGGTGGCCTGGGGAGTGTCGAGGCGTGAGTGGCTCATGGAGAGTCCTGAGCTCGTAGCTATGCTAACGATATGTCACTGCAGCTTCTGACCCCCGATACCACAACTACGAGCGCTTCCTATCTGACGGCTGGATCCCGGGGCGTAAAATCGTAGGTCGCCCTCGACACCCCTCTACGAAGTGAAGCCTCCTGTAACACGATCACTTCTAGGATGTTTCCGACTCGCAATATCATACCTTCCGCCAGAACCTTCCTTACATGGCCCTGCTCCTGACCTTCCACCCACTCCTCCGGAAGCTTTGGAACATCGTCTTCCCGATCCCGTCAGACCTACACAAGAAGTCGGTAACAGAGCAAGGCGACGCCCGCCTCGAGCAGCGCGCTTCCTTTGACTACCGATTCGCCATCGTGTTCCTCATCGCACTGCACGGCTTCTCTGCGTTCAAGGTTCTAGCAATCCTTTACATCAACTACCAGCTTGCCACGCGGCTCCCGCGAAGATACATCCCCGCTGCGACATGGATCTTCAACGTCTGCATGCTCTTCGCGAACGAGCTGAGCCAGGGATACAAGTTCGCCAACATTGCGCGGCACATCACACCACCCTCTGCGCACAAGGACCTACTAGAGGAAGACCCCTTCCTGGTGCGATGGGGTGTCTGGCTCGATTCGTACGGGGGGTTGATGGGCCGCTGGGAGATTCTCTTCAACATCACTGTTCTACGGCTCATCAGTTTCAACCTGGATTACTATTTTAGCCTGGACCATCGTGGCGGAAGCGCTCTCGAGGTAAGACTCTGTCCACCGCCCCAAACACTTTGTTCAGCACTGAGATCCTTAAGAAGAAGCAACTTGACCCCGCCAATCTCTCCGAACGTGACCGCCTGGCCATTTCCGCCGCTCCCAAGGATTACTGCTTCCGTAATTACCTCGCCTACGCGATCTATGCGCCGCTGTATCTTGTTGGGCCCATTATGACCTTCAACGACTTCATCCACCAGCTCCGACACCCGCCTGCCTCTGTTGAGACGGGCCGCACCCTGCGCTACGCAGTCCGCTTTGCTCTCTGCCTGCTCGCGATGGAAATCGTGCTCCATTACGACTATGTATGCGCCATCTCGCACGCGGGGCCCAATTGGTCATCCTACACGCCCTCTCAGCTTTCCCTGCTCTCCTACTTTAACCTCCACATCATCTGGCTCAAACTCCTCCTCCCATGGCGCCTATTCCGCCTATGGGCCCTCCTCGACGGCGTCGACGCGCCGGAGAACATGCTGCGCTGCGTCTCCAACAACTGGTCTCCGAAATCCTTCTGGAAGGCCTGGCATCGCTCCTACAACCGTTGGCTGATCCGCTACATATACATACCCCTGGGCGGTGCAAACTTCCGCTCCTGGGCCACGACCGTCCGCTCAATCGCCACGTACCTCCTCGTCTTCACGTTTGTAGCACTGTGGCATGACATCCGCTTGCGCCTGTTGATCTGGGGCTGGCTCATCGTCCTGTTCCTCCTACCAGAGGTGCTCGCGGGAATGCTGTTCCCCGCGAGGAAGTGGGAGAACAGACCGAACCAGTACCGCTGGCTGTGTGGCATCGGCGCCGTTGCCAACGTGCTCATGATGATGACGGCCAACCTTGTCGGTTTCGCTGTCGGTTTAGATGGCCTGCAGAGCATTCTGCACGGTATCTTGCATGACTGGTCAGGTACGCTGCCCCAAAAGAACTCGCGCTCTACCTTTCGAGAGTATCATACTAACACATTGCGTAGGCGTCATGTTTTTCGTAGGGGCATGTACCGCGCTCTTCATCGGCGTCCAAGTCATGTTCGAGATACGCGAGTCTGAGATGAGAAGAGGCATCTCATTGAAGTGCTAAAACAAAAGAGAGCCCGATCATAGAAAGCCACTTTTTTACGTCTTAAAATTACCTGTATTACCATACGAGACAGCTGACGCTGTTGTACACTACTACTACTTCTATATCTGTCCTGTTCGTGCCTAGGTATAGATGGTGACAGGGACACCGATACCGTCCCTCGGGGTATAATGATCAATGCAGCCGCTCCCACCCGAATGCCCGACTCCTTGCAAGTCTTCTTTTTATGAACGTTCCCGTAAGCGCCGACCGTGTACTCGGCGCGGACAAATGGAAAATGTACAGACACACATGGACACATACACAAGCCATGCATATCTAGTGCTTACTGTTGATGGTGCCCAGCTCGGTGTCGTAGTTGCGGAAACGCTGCTGGGCAAACTTGCCGTCCATGCCCAGCTTGCGCTCCGTCACCCACTCCCTGAGCCAGATGAGGCCCTTGACGACGAGGTAGAAGACGATACCGGCGACGGCGATGCCGATGATGTACGCCGCCGTCTTGCCGCTGCCGTTCTTCTGGATGTCGAGGAAGTCGTACGTGTAGAAGCCCTGCGTGGCGTGGGTGACGTAGGCGAGGGCCAGGTACAGGGCGAGGACGATGATGAGCCAGAGCATGTGCACCCACTCGAGCTGGGCGGCGCTGGTGCGGGGGATGATGATCTCGAACAGGGCGAAGCCCGAGTTCATTGCGTGCTGGGAGACGTTACTCCATGCGTTGAATTCCTCCTCGTACCAAGGACCCGAGTAGATAATCGCCCAGTACACAATCGTGACGATGAACGGGTAGGTGGTGATGGTCGTGTAGTAGAAGGCGTGGAGGGCCTGCAGAGGGCGCGGGAAGCGGTCGAGGATAGGGGAGCCCGAGTGAGCGTAGGTGAAGGTGTGGATGGCGGAGACGAGGAAGTAGAAGGCTAGACCCCAGTAGGTGAGGACGGTGAAGTATGAGAAGCTCTGGCCGACAATCGTGCAGCCGCCATCCTCAGCGTGGGTGCATGTCCAACCGATGATGAAGAAGCGGGTGACGAAGATGTAGAGACTCTGTGGGGGGTCATCGTTAGCTTCCAATTGAGAAAGGCGTAGAGCGGGGTTGGAGCCAGGGAACGTGGTACAAATCCGGGAGGATAGAGAAAATAAAATGAAGAGTCGTCTCGGGGATGCGAGGATAGGAGAAAAGTAAACACTCACAATCAGCGCGCGACAAGCAGCCAACAGGTAGGGAGGCAGAAGCCACGAGGTCTCGAAGCGGTAGGATGGATCCCAGAGATCGTTCCCGAAGCGGAAGGCAGCGAACATCTTCATCTGCCCTGGAGGGAGGGGTTTTACACCGCTTGACGAGGTGTAAAAACCGTTATTTTCGCTTGTTGACGATGTTCAGGTTTTGGAGTTGAGCCCTGGGAGTGGGAAGATCGAGACCCAAGAGGTTTTTGAACGTGGTGGGCCTTGGCTCTCGGCGCGGGTCGTAAGGTCGCAAGGGTGTGCCTCCGTCGCCAGGAAAAGCGCAATCATGTCGCTGCCGGGGTGACCTGGCAGCCCGGGGCTTGCTGAGTACCGCGGTAGATGGGTTCGGTGTCGTGTGCAGCTTGGCGTTTATGAATGCCTGTGTATTTTGTGTATTCGCGTCCTAATAGAAAACACTGACTGCAGAAGGATAGCGACAG